ATCGCCCTGATGATGGAGGCAGTATGACCTCTGAAACGTTGGTTAACATCGACCAGACTACACAGCGCAACAACCCAGAAGACGGAAATCTTCATACTCTGATGACGGAGGCAGTATGACCTCTGAAACGTTGGTTAACATCGACCAGACTACACAGCGCAACAACCCAGAAGACAGAAATCTTCATACTCACCGCTGTGAAAACCTCAAATCTTACAATCTTTTCATATATTGACAGTAAAAGCAGTTTATAAAAGTATGCAGTGTGTAACATGCAGGCATACCTTACGAAATTTCAACATGTATCACTTTAGTTAAATGAAACGACATTTTAGAGGATAAGTGAGGAGGCGATAGATCTGGTGAGCCTTGTCGACCGCATTTTGTGGCCCCCAGGAGACTACCTAGAGGCCAATTACCTTCTCTAGGCCTGCAAGTTCCTATGGGACCATAAAACACTGATCTCTACACTCAAGAGTGCGTGAAAGAAAACTTATTTGGGATATAAAAAACAGACTTTTTTCTCCTACTGAAGTCCACGTCTAGATCTAAATGTAACAGAGTTACACGAGAGGCTTTTCAACATTAGTTGTTGTCGTCCTTGTACTTAAAGTGTTGAAGTCTCATTAAGAACAACAAAACTTAATTGATTTACACAATCTACGGTTAATCTATCACAGAAGAAATCGGAAAAGGCTCAGAGCCTTTAAACCTTTAGAGCCCGACGGTAACTATATATACAGCCCTCTTTAATAATCACAAGCTCTGTATTTTGTATTTATAGGTTTCGCATGATTCTCAGTGTAAAAAGTGATAATTTCCTTAAACAGCATTCACGTAGTGATCTTTGTAATAGTTAGGTGTGGCGTTTTCTTTGAGGTACGGGCTGAACAATTAAATATTATTTATATGAGCTTCGGCTTCAAAGGGTTAAACATGCTGTGTTAACTTCTGTTCTGGGCGTATCGTTTCAAATGGTTAATAATAATAAAGCATAGCGGAGAAAGAGAGAAAAGGTGTATTCCAATTTTGAGTAGGCAAACTTTACAAATGAGGTATTTAGGATTTTCCATTGGGCTACAAAATCCGCTTATAATTTAATACTTGCGTATACATATCTAGTGTTGCAAAGCTAGTCGGAATTATACTGCATCCAGATGAAAATTAGTTTACCTTGATTTTCTTAACTGTAGAATTCAGTTATAAAACAACGAAAAATCTTTCAAATAATAGCTGAAGATCTTAACAAGATATGTAAAATTATAGATTATTGTATAAAACTGATATTCTATTTCTGATTAATGTAAGGTAGAGATTTCACAGAAGTGGTTCCCAGATATTTTTGACTCTGGTATCAGAAAAGAGCTGTATACTATCTGAGTGTCTGTAATCACAGCTCGTAATTATTACACATAAGAAACATGTTTATTTACTATTAAAACCAACAACTTTTAGTTGTATTAAAATCACACCCGCAACGAACACGAAAGAATATAAGTTGTTAAACATTCCCCATAGAAATAGAACAAAAATACTGTAATCGTGATTTACTTACTAGCAAAAGCGCAAACATATTGTAACGTGGGACGGTATACGACCTTGATTGTCAACCCTTGATTTCTTCTGGGGTCTGCTACCTCAAATCCGATCCGATTGTAAACTTGGTTGGATTGTAAGAGACCACGATGTCCTCCAGCAATAATTAATTTAATCAAACTAAAATGTCTTTTACAGCACAAAATAATCTCGTCTACAACACACTTCTCCTACAAGCGATTCACACAGACGCATGAGGCCGCGACTTCTAGTCCTGGGGCCCCGGCTGGCGGCACATGTGTCACATTGCCGACACCATTGCTCTATGTCGCTCCTAGAGTGTAGCCAGTAGTACCGCCGCCTGACCTTGTCCAGGGTTTTGTTAATTCCCAGGTGTCCCCCGGAAGACCCTCCATGAACCTCGGCCAGAACCTCCTTTATCTTACTTCGTGGCAGGACCAATTGAGCCGTCTTCGCTTTACCATCCGCCGACTCCCAGTGTCGTTCTAGCACGCCGTCCTTAATCGCTAGGGAGTCCCATTGTGCCCAGTAGCTCTTGTAGACCGGGCTACGGTCAGCGATGTCATACCACTGGGGTCGTTGTCCCCTTCTCCAGCTGCTCTTTTCTTAATGTCACCCGGTCCCAACCATCCGCGACTGTAACGGCGACGGCTCGCACCTTCACGCGACCCGCTCGTTGCTCGAACTTCTGGCAGTGGCCACAGTCCTCCGAGCATGGCCTTCTAGAGAGAGCGTCGGCGTTGGTATGCCTCCGTCCCTGTCGATGTTCAGAGGTAAAGTTATATTCATGTAGTCGCTGGACCCAACGGGCAGTCTGTCCCTCCAGGTTCTTGAAACCGAGCAGCCACGTTAAGGCGGAGTGATCTGTACGCAGGTGGAACTCTTGCCCATACAGGTACTTGTGGAAATGTTCCAAGGTTTTTACCACAGCCAGCATCTCCCTCCGGGTGACACAGTAATTCCTCTCGGGGCGGGATAGGGTCTTGCTATAGTAGCCTATTACTCGCTCCTGGCCATCTTGTATCTGGGATAACACGCCTCCGATCCCAACGCTGCTTGCGTCGGTGTCTACCAGGAACTTCTCGCCAGGTCGTGGATATCCTAAAATGGGCGATGCAAACAGCGACTCTTTCAAGGACTCGAATGCGACGTCCGCCTCCGGGGACCAGTGGAACGTTCTTTTCTCCTCGGTGAGTTGAGTCAGTGGCTTGGCGATGTCAGCAAACCCGGCAACGAATCTCCGATAGTAGGTGCAGCTCCTTAGCTCGTGCTTGTCCTTTGGCCTCGGCCACTCTCGCACAGCCTTCAGCTTTTCGGGTTCGGTGGTCACCCCGCCGGGGGAAACCACATGTCCTAGATATTTCGCCTCCTTCTGGAGCATCCGACACTTTCCGGAGTTCAGCTTAAGTCCGGCTTCCCTGAGCCTCTGGAGCACTTCCCTCAGATTATCCAAGTGCTCCCAGAATGTCCGACCAATGACGATGACATCATCCAGGTAGACCAAGCAGGCTTTGGGCGTCAGGTCCCGCAGGACGGACTCCATCAGCCTTTGCAAGGCCGAATGACATTACTGTGAATTGCCACAGCCCCTGTCCAGTAGAGAATGCAGTCTTCTCTTTATCCTCGGGATGCAGGGCCACCTGCCAGTAGCCACTCTTTAGGTCTAATATCGAGAACCATTTGGCCCCTGCCAGTGTGTCTAGGGTATCGTCGATCCTGGGCAGTGGGAAGCATTCCTTCTTGGTGACGTTATTCAGCTTCCTGTAGTCAACGCAGAACCGCAGTACCCCGTTCTTCTTTCGCACAAGCACCGGGTACGTGGACCGTGGCGGCCGAGGAGCCAGCGTGTGTCCAGTGGGGTGCTACGGGCCGATGCGTAAGCGAGAGAGTGGAGCCAACGAGAGGTCTAGTGTGACGTGTTGCGGTTGGCATAGTTGTGTCTCTTTATTGACATTGTTGTTGGTCCTCGACTTTCAGGATGTCTTCGTGACAGAAAACAATGGTTATGGGCGGACGGTATGCTAAGGGACATGGGGGAACGAGGTGTGATCGAGGCATTAGACAGCCCGTGGTCGTCGCCCGTCGTGCAGTGAAATCTGCCCTGTGACTCGGATTTCGTTTTGCTTGATTTAATAATGGCGGAGTTTAAATAAGTGTGAATAATTCTCGTACCCCACCAAAGGCAAAAACGGTAAGAAGTCAGTTTAGTTTTAATGAAGAGAGGCTACGAATTTGGGAATTCTCGGACGGGCAGTCAAGTTCGGTTTATGACAAGAATTTTTTTTTATAAATAGAACAAAAATTGGTTTCGAAGATTGGAAGGAATCGCCTCTGAAAGTTTAAATGTCAAAAGCCGAAGTTCTAGTGCAAAGGAACTTCAATAATTTGTATTTCTTTTCCATGTCAGAATCTTAGGACATTTTTTCCGACTGTCAATTTGCTAATTTCGGCTTTTAAACGAATGCAACAATGTAAACACAGCAATGTAAGCACAACAGTGCTAAACGCAACAATGTCTATAAACAAACAACAATGTCAATAAAGAGACACAACAATGCCAGACACAACAATGTCTATAAAAGAGTACAACAATGCCAACCGCAACACGTCACACTATTATAAATATTTAACAAAAACTACTCAGACGACAAAATATCACTAAGCTTTTTCATGTTAATGTTTGATGTATTTCGCAAAATACAGTCCTACATAAAACTAAGCAGAATTTGGGGGCCGCTAGATCAAACCTAATATGCCCGAAACGTTTACTGTAAGTTTACAAATGCCATCAATATTGGTTTAGATTCCGTGACTGACGGACATCTCCATGTGATGCATTCGCTTTATGCACTTCGCGTTAAGAACGTATAGGCTTTAAAAGCCAAATAAACATGTATTAACTACCACAAATCCAACAACAGTCTCGCTAGAGCTTGTTCGATACTGCAAATGCCCGGAGTAATCGAAGTGTCATGTACTTCCAGAGCCATTAAAACGAAAAAAAATCCCGTCATCTACATGACCATCAAAACAAAAAGAAAATACGTTTCACGTAACTATCTACGAACAAAATCCTATCTCAGAGGCAACAAAATGAACCTACATTCAAGAAAACGACACGGGAAGAATGGTATGCTGCAAAGCATTTGGTCCAGCTCCAAGAGCTTCCAATAACTTGTCAGAGAGAGAGAGAGAGAGAGAGAGATATAGTCGATATTGAGCGTTAAGGATTTATGACTTTCCTGAAGTAAACAGATTTAACCTCATACTGTTCCAGCGCACAGTCTGAAGAGCCAATAACTGGTCGTTAGGAATACGAAACGGGGACACGTGCAAAGGTTTTCAAGGACAAAAGATTTTTCTCATTAATACTTTTTTTTTAGTAATTAGCACTTACGATACTGAGATTTTTCTACTTAAAATGCATAACCTACATAACGTACGCCTATTCCGCAAAGCTTAAGAAAACAGAAGAATGTCAATTCGTTTCCTGGCTGATTACTCGTATGTAAGATTAAAACATGTCATCAATGAAACAACCCTAGATGGTAGTGAATGTGAGCGGCTGTAGCCTACTTCATGCATCCAGTAGATTAGCTTCGCGATAACGCATCTCTTATGTAGTGGGGAATACCCGGCTCGAAACTAAACCATGTCATTAACCATCCTGAAACCGTAAGTGGTTTTCTTCATACCAGTTCAGGAGACTATAGGCGTGGTTACTTGGAACAGACCACAATAGCCTCCTCCAGTCATTCTGTCGTGTTTACAGAAACTAAACTCTCGTCAGAAAAACCAAAAGTTCTACAACAAAAACCACTAAGCTTGTGCCGGTTACAAAACTGAACAGTTCATCTTTTTAAACGTTAATACGCTGTCTCTCCATTCCATGGGGTTTTAAATGTGTACGTCGTTATGAACTCCAGAATAGGTAATCTCTAAAACCTGGGCATTTCCCTCTTTTTATACATTCTCTGAAGCTGCGTTCAGCCAATATACGCTGCCTGTAAATACTTATTTTGAAGTCGTGTTTCGTTTCTGGCCCCTTAGTGTGAAAGTCACATAATTTCATAAATATGTAAATTTGACATTTTACACTTATTTCCTTCTTATTTATAAGTGCCCTTTCAATACGTACGTAATGTAGTCAATCCTAGAAAATACAATGGTTATCATCTTTATGGACATTTCATGGAATATATATTTAGGTCGAACAAGATTTCTTTCTTGAATACCGTAACTTTAATTTTACTTAAAAACATGGATTAATTACATTTTTCAGATAGTCTGAATAGCTTAAGTAGTGCAATTTGTAACGTGATCTATGACGTGTTCAAACGTGACCATATTCAAACAAGAGAAAGTTTACTTCTTTAAAATGTACGTGCATCCCACTTCTAAGGCTATTTGCCACAATTTAACACCACAGTCTACATATACACCAAATAAAACAGGCTATAATATGTAGCATCAGCTTACCCCTTGATTTAATGAGATCCCTTTATCAATAATTTTGTCTCACGTCATCTTACCGTATTTAACGATACACATTACACAACAATTATTAGGAGGAAAAGGGTTGTGAACAAATCAGAAAAGCCTTTGTCTTTCGCTGACATCGTGAGAATAATTAATTGTCTGTGGGTTGTGACGATAATTGAACTGAGTTCGGACACGACAGGGTGCAATGCATCTGAGCGCCACAGCACAGATTTCTAGCGACAAACAGCTTCTGGTCAGTTCCTGAACACGCAGTAATTCAGTTGCGGTCTTCTGAGGTCATTCGGTTTCAAGTCCCTGCTAAACTACAATGCAGATGGATTCACAAAGGCCTACCAATTAAAGCTCTTGACACCGACGAACAAGCAGTGAATCACTTGTATAGGATAAGTCAGTCAGTAGCTACAAAGTGTAAGGAGACGAATGAAGACACTCACTGACTTGCAGAAACTGCAGAATGAATGGGCATGACATACTAACAGCTTTCAGTCCGAAATAAAATCATTTATCTGTCCGTCTAAATTATAAGGGCATCTATTTTATAGGATGCGTGTTTCTTTACAAAAAATATATGTTAATAAGTAAAATACTTAATGATTTTTCTGCATTTAAGCTGTATACAGTTTTACAATTTATTCACAGGAAAAACTCTCGAGTTTCTACAACTAATGTCAAAAAGAACGTCGCGGTCGAGTGGTTAGCACTCCTTTGTATTCGGCATCCCGGGTTCTAATCTTGGCCTGGAGACAGACTAATCTGACTCAGGTTCCTCGTAGGTTTCCTCAGTCCCTTCAAGCGAATGTAAATTTAAGCAAGGACCGCTATTTTCCATCTCCAACCCATCATGCATTAATCATACTCTCATTCCAATCTACAGAGTCAGAGCCAGTGACAACGTCATTAAACAAGACATAAATAAATAAAGAACCGCTTTCAATTAAACAATGTGTTTTCATTTGCTTACAGACGACATTCTTCTGAATCAGGTGGAGTGTCATCATGACAGATGGTGATGACCGGTGTTGTATGAAATGACTTTCGCTGTAACTGCCCTCGATGTTCACATGCCGGTCGGAAACAAATCGATCTGTCAGTACGTGGATCTTGTCTTTAACTCTCTTTTTCTAAGTTACACTCTCTCACTCATATTCATGCTGAGCAGTGAAGTAATCATACGGCGAAGGTAAGGGTCATACCACCATCAATGACAAATTTTACAGAAGAAATAATTTTCGTACGGCTTCACAGAAACAACGCGTCAAAATCACTAATCAATCAGCAACCAAGACAATTCAACAGATCAAACATCACAAGTAATGAAAGACAAACGTAAGCAAGAACCAAACAACACGGGTACCACCACATGCACACCAGTGTTCCCAGCAACAAAATAAATATCGCACAACATGTAAGCAGATAAAAACTATGAATACGTGAAACGAGGTCAAGAACGCAAGTTTAAAGCAGTCACAAAACATGAAATTTCCCAGTTTTCATCTTAAAAGACCTCAGCTATTTAACTAGTCTACAGGCTGCTTTACTGCAATTACTGACAATACTTTGAGCATAAGAACTTTTGCTAAACCAGGAAGAAAATTGTAGTAAGTAGTCTGCTCGTAGTCGAGAAACTACAGACAAGACGTAATGTGGCACTTCCAACTAGGGACCCATTAGTCTTCACACCGCAGAAGAAAGATACACAGCCCTATTTCGCGTTTAAAAGGGAATCCCGTATAAATCGGGCCAGAGAGGGCTGTTACTACGCGTTTCAATTGTGGCTAAAACACGTGTATATGCTACGACATAGGCCTACAACAGAAAAATAGCATCAAAGAGGTGGGGACAATAAATTTATTATCAGCAGGACCAACTCAGTTATTCTAACATTTACTGTAACGCCGGTTGAAGTTATGCTACGTGAAGTAACACTGACTGAAATCGTCTGAATGATTTAACGAAATAAAAGTTTCGACATACCTCGTACTTCGGTCCACGGAAGCTCTGTCAGGAATTTAACACAGTAAAGAGAGTGTAGTCGGCTCCTACCCGACTCTTACCTACAAGTGTCCTGTTTCGACGATACTAGTAGGCCTGTACTGAATTTCCATGCGTGACTCAACACTATGTTATATCGTCTGTTCTGCAGGCACGTCCTTTACACGCTTCAAATATTTTCAATATCATAGCATTCCCTTGAAATTATTCATAAATTTTTTGAGGGAACATTTCTTCTGGATAATAAACTACAATCGAAAAATGCCACTGTGAGAAAAATCTACGCCTCATGTAGCTGCAGACATTCAAGGCAAATATGTGTAGTAAGATTAAAATAATCCGTACAATGAAAGAAAAGTCACTTAAAAACCGTTGTGATAAAACCAACAACATCCGCGTGAATGAAAAACAGAAGAAGAGGTTTTCAAGGACTGAGTAAGCACAGCAAAACAAGCATTTGCTTCCATCCCAGTCAAACCGCTACCGTCTGCCCGACGTGATGACGGCGAACCAAAAGTTCTTTGTTCTTGCTACTGCCACCGAAATCGTTATTACGTCTGAGGGTTTGCTACACTCTCATATGAAGAGGACGCAGCACGCAATAAACAAGAAAGATCACGAAGATAAAACTACAAACGCCAGCACTTATGAACCAATCTACGACATTAATATGGAGATGTAAAGAAAAACTTGTATCTGCTAGCAAGAAACGGCGAAAAGAGAATGTAATGACCCAATAGAATGATTTCCACCACTGACCCACAAAGCGAAGTCTAAATTCAATGCAATGAGGATGAAATCGTAACCATAAAATTATTCAGTTATTTATTTTGAAAATAATAATTGTGACAAACCGTACGACCATTGCTTAATTAATGGTTAGAATGAGAGTCTTTCGAAAAACGTCCTAAAAATGCCATTCTTTGCTTGTAAGGGAATTGTTACTACAAGATTTATCCTTGGTACACGCCACTACGCCACTACATCATTAGGCCAATGACTGCCTCTTTACATTATTCCCGATGTTATTCCATACACAAGGTTCAAATTAACAAGAACAACCTTGGCTTACAGTGATTAACAACTGAAATAATATAGTCCTTTTGCTAAATAATTAAACAATTGACCTCGTTGGATCCACAGAAACCGGAGGAACACGAAGACTGGACACCGAAGCTTAATACGAAATAAAAACCTGACTTGGGGTGGTGGTGGGTTCTAGAACGTAGCTTCAATTATTCACGACGCTGGACGAGACGCACTGGACTACATAAAGGACCCCATTTACATTAGTAAGATTGCTAATGAATACTGCATGGCACCATGTTTTACATTCACCGCGGAAACTTGCGCCGAGATTTCTTTCGTACAGATACAACTTTAATGTAAGCTTTTCAAACCGAATTTAACTTTCGGGAAAAGTATGACATTCTTCAAATGCTTCGTACGTACATACATACACACATAAACTATAAATTAACAACTACAAAAGGGTAGGAACATCGGTGAGAATAATTTGTGTAACAAAGTTGTCAAGATAATTAAAAATTTTGTATATTTTATTACAAAACATATTTCATGACTATGTTCTGGCATGTTTATAATCCATATCCGTAATATATACCACGTTTCCATTTGTAATGGGTTTTCTATTGTCACGTATCAAATCCAATATCGCTGTTCACTTCTTTATACGAAAAATGTTCAGCAACGTTGTAGACCTACATTCTTAAAATTCATACGTTACAGACGGAATGGCTTCCAACGCCAATCGTTCATAGGCCTGGCAAATTTCAAGAATATCAAACAAATGGTTCAAAAACACGACACTGCACGATGACATAACATGCCTTTACAATATTAGCTATTATACACACACAGAAATGCACGACAATACCGCAAATTTTTACAGTATTTTACGAAATGAGACACCAGGACGCATTCATACCCCGAGCGGGATTCCACATCCACAGTGCCCTAATAACCACAGACCACGCGACCGTTGTGATGGGTTATTTTTATAATCTTGATTTATTTCAGAAGACACGTAAGTCCCCCAAAGTGGTCATAGAATGTTCCAAAATTATGTAAATACACATTCAATGAACAAAATTAAGACATTTCAATAAACAAGACCATTAGAAACGTCATAATTGGCACTCAGTGAATTAGCAAATCTAAAGTAGTTGTTGAAAATGACCACCGTTAGCATCGTGGCACAGTTGACAGTGGTGAGGAATTGACTGACAAGCGACCACCAAAGTTACTGCTACATACATCTTTTTGGGACAACATGTACGTATTCAACTGTCATGAAATTCTGTTATTATGGAACGCAATGGTTCATCGCCGACATAATAAAAACTTTTAAATTCGTCCCCGTTTTAATTAAGCTTTCTTTGTAGTGCATCGCACCACAGGATATACACAAACCTTAACATTATCAACAACGATAACATAACGCTAGTGAAATTCTGAGTGGAACTACTCTAATGCCGTTTAATTGAAGGAACTGAAATTTTTGTAAGAGAAACGCAAAATTTCTGTTAAGGATCGAAAACAAATTGGTACTGAAACCGTTTATTTTCATAGCGGTACTAAACGATGTACGAGTCGCATGTCGAAGCAGTAGGACCACATCTTTTGCATAAACATATATCTACTGCATTAACAATTACAATCGTACTTTGTGACATTTCTGACTAGCTATATCATAGTATCTCTAGCATAATGGAAATCAATACTACTGGAATTACGCACTAATACAGGTCTGCCTCAATACATTATGAAATTCGTACTGTTGATTTTAGTTTAAAGAAATCTCAGTGAAAATTAAAATCATCTGAAGAAAAGTAGCCATCTTTCGGTCATTTTAGGTCTACTTACTGTTTTTCAGTCAGTGCTACATCTCTCTCCCGTCTTAAACGTCTTGAAAATCGTCATACTGGTAAGCCTGTTAATATGTTAACTTCGCAACGAGACATTATTTTATTATTTTATTTAGTGTTCTGTCTGACGACAGGTCCATATGAATAGGATCCTTCCATCCTTTTCTCGGACTGGGACCTGTTCATATATGTTCTTGGCAGATGATCCAGAATTGGTTTGTCATTGCCTTCTTCTGTGTGTATGGAGTAATTGTTGGGATGCCACGGAGAAATCGGGGAAGCCCCGGAGGAAAACTCCGTGTTGCCTAGACCACGGCCTTGCCCACATGGCAGAGTATTATTTGAAATTTTGGTACACGAGATGCAAACGACTGAATGAATGTTCCTGAGTTATGAAGTTAAAAATAATCTATTTGCAATTAGGCTACAAATCATCAGTGGAAAACCAAACAATACACCAATAAATCACAGAAAACTGTGCACGACACACCAGAAATAAACTATCAGCTATCCAAGGTCCAGTATTATCCAGTGTGTTCACAGCATTCGAAAACATTCTGGGAACGCTTTTCAACAAAATACCTCTGATCGAGAGCTTCAGTACGACAAAGACGTGAAGTAACAATATTCAAACTTTTTGCATGTAACTTCGAGCATCGACTAACAACATAACAAGTTCACATCACTTTTAAAAAAAAAGAAAAAAGAAGAACTCTCTTGATTTGCCGCTCTGTGGCATTTTGTCGTGGTTAATAGCAAAAAGCTGTCACGCAAGTTTTTATGTAGTAGTCTGTGTTATAAGCAAGCATCACTTGTTGGCAACGGGACAAAGAATGCAGCACATTATAAGACAAACCTTTCTACCTACTCCTCCCTTGATACACACCCAAAAGCTAGGCTGGAGAATAGTTACACTTCACGTTAAGGCCAGCATTACATGAGACTGGATCTAGGAACACGCCAAGATGACGGCCTTCTAAAGGACGCGACAGCAACACAAGTTGTGCAAATCTCACTCGACCGAACAAACACGATCGTTTCAACAATTACTTCCGAGTAGGACTACAACAACAGTATTCAATTATGATGTAATATGAACTGGCATTAAAGGCCTACGTACATAAATTTCTGAAGGAAAAAACACACACGCGCAAACTTTCCAATATCACAATTTATTTCGAGAGGTCAATATGCCGATCGCTGTCGGCCTTCTGCTCCTATGATCTTCAACCGTTCAACACAGGGATGGTGGGTTCGAATCCAGTTCGTCGAATGGCTGTAGGTTTGCGTTTTCTGTGTTGTAACTGTCCTGTGCGGGCAGAGGCCTTGCCACAGGAAGATCCTTCGTCCAAGGAGTCATATCAAATGTATGAAAGTACTCATAGTTTGGGAAGTTAATTTTGAACTGAAACACTAAAGTGAGTCCATTCCGAATTTTTTTAAGATGAAGATTCTGCAGAGAATAATAGAAACTGATGTCTGTGCCTTTAAAGGATTTCATTTTCTAACTCCAACTCTTTGAAACGGATAGCTTCACGCTAGAAATATGTGATAGTCCGTGTATGTATTTTGCTAGGCATTCACAAGAAATGCTATTACAGAATCACGCAATTTTATGAAACTGTAATAATGTCATAAACATCGCTATCATCAAATCGCCACTACCGCCATCTCTTCTTCTTCTTCGAGATCTTTTAAAGTCCAGCAGCTACATTCACGAGGTGATTTAACTACACTGTACCAGACCGATGAAATATCCACCAGTGACTGTGGCAGGTGGTTTAATACTCACGTGCGTGGGTGGATGTTGTGTCAAACGTACGGAGACGGAGAGACGTACAGTTGGTTAATTGATGGCAATGATGGACAGACTCGTTCAGCCAGTAGGCAATGAGTCACAGAATGGTTGGATAATGTGATAGGCACATACTTCAGTTTTTACAGTTGTTCAGTTGAAGGTTTTCTTCGGCTGTTTATGTATTTCCATCAGAGTTGTGGAGTCGGTACGAAAATCTCCGACTCCGGCTTCGACGCCGACTCCTTCATAAAAGCTCAATATGTATTAATAAGGGTAAACCTACTAAAATGGTAAATGGCACCATAAGAGATTTCATCACCACCACGTGAATCATCAGCCTACATATAAGACTTTAACCTATATTTAAATATACGTCTAATGGTTATTGCAGAAATCGGTTGATTTGTAGTCTGTTTGTAATCTTAAGGTACCGGAACAAAAGTTACAAAGCATTATTCCCAAACCATGTGGCTCAACACGTCGTTGAATCTCCCCAAGCGTGAGGCCGCCGGCGGCTCACACGGTATAGAAATTGTCCTTAAGATTTCATATCGAGGTCGATATCGGAGTCGGTACATTTTTACCGACACCGACTCCACAGCAAAGGTCGTGTCCGTGACATAACCAACGGTGACCTGTGCGTGATCTCAAACGGACATAAATATGGTCACTGAGATTCCTGAAGATCGGCAGAAAAATGTGTTTAAAAAAATTACTTTCGAAATACCTTGAAAACTTTAAAGGCCTCTATTCGGAAAACCTCGGTACTTACATTGTCGTGACTATGACATTACAATGACCTGTCCGTAACCTCAAACTAACATGAGTATTGTCACTCAGATTCCTACAGATCGGCAGAAATATGCGCTTGAAATATTTGATCTTGGAATTTGGCAGCCGAACGCTTCGCTGTCACATAGGACAGCGCCGCACAAACAGCCAGTCATCGCCCTGATGACGGAGGCAGTATGACCTCTGAAACGTTGGTTAATATCGACCAGACTACACAGCGCAACAACCCAGAAGACGGAAATCTTCATACTCACCGCTGTGAGAACCTCAAGTCTTACATCAAAATATTTGATCTCGGAATCCGGCCGCTTTACTCTCTTGACTGATTCGCTGTAACCTAGGACAGCTCCGCACAAACAGCCAGTTTGATATTTCCGCTTCACCCACGCAACTCGCATCGCTCGCATTTAATCGCTCACGTAGGACACCGGGTGTGAGGCCGCCGGCGGCTCAAGGGTATATAAATTGTCCTTAAGATTTTATATCGAGGTCGGAGTCGGATTCGGTACATTTTTGCCGACTCCGACTCCACCTAAAATTGCTTCCGACTGCGACTCCACAGCCCTGATATCCATAAATTGTTTATCGTCAGCAGTAGAAGCCTTCACGGATTGTTTCAATCAAAACAATCAAAACTGTATCTGAAATTATGAATCATTATAGACATTTGGTAGGACTCATTAGACGAGTGATCAGCCCATCACAAGGCCTCTACCTACACAGAAAAGTTCTTTATGAATCAGCCATTAATTTTTATTAAACAGAACGGACCAGGAAAGAAACAATATTTGGAATGTCCTAGGTCCAAAATTGTAAGGACTCTAGGATAACTTCTGAATGTTGCATTGTGGATAAACAACCATAACCAAGACGCTTCTTTTGGTGCGCACGGTAAGGGAAGGCCTAACGCTGTCGTCGTCGGTAAACATCAAAGGACACGGAGCGGAGTGGCATAGCCCTAAAACACAACACAAGACATACGGTGTCTGTTCCTAGTACAGTACCATACAATAGCAAAGAAATTTTAATTCATTATTGTAACTCCGCTGGGTAGAGGTGTAAAAATTAAAAACCTGTTAGATGC